TATACAGTTATGCTCCAAATTTTACATACCCTGGCAGAAATTGTGAAATTTTGGCATTGATATTGAAAATTTGACTGATCATGCCAAAAAAATGTTCTTTTGTTGAAGGATGATGATCACATGAAGCCATTTATTATCAAATAGTTGTTTGGCTCCTTTTTAAATCATAATGATAACAAAATCACCCAAATGGCCATGATCAAAAGTTTACATACCCAGGAATGTTTGGCTTGGTACAGACACACAAGGTGACACACACGGGTTAAAATGCCAATTAGAGGTTAATGTCCCACATCTGTTGCTTTTTAAATTGCAATTAGTGTCCGTGTATAAATAGTCAATGAGTTTGTTAGCTCTTACGTGGAAGCCTGACTAGGCTAGATACTGAGCCATAGGGATCAGAAAAAAACTGTCAAAAGTCCTGCGTAACAAGGCAACAGAACTTTATAGATGGAAAAGGACATAAAAAGATGTCCAAAGCCTTGAATATGGCAATCAGTACTGTTAAATCACCTATTAAGAAGTGGAAAGTTCGGGAATCTCTTGATACCACGCCAAGGTCAGGTAGACCAAGAAAGATTGCAGCCATAACTGACAGAAGAGTTGTCCAGGATTTAAAGGGGAAACCCATAGGTAACCACAAGAAAAATACAGGCTGCTCTGGAAAAAAAAAGACACTGTGGTTGTTTTGAAGGAGCACAATATGATGACACTTGAACAAAAATTAGCTGCATGGTCGAGGTGCCAGAAAGAAGCCTTTACTGCATCAATGACACAAAAAGGCCTGGTTAGGCATGACAAGGTGTTGTCAGATATATTGTAACTGGGCTTTTTGTAGCATTGGTGCTAGGCAAAGTATAGTAGAAAACAGTACAAACCTAAAGAAGCCAGACCACAGCTTAAAAATAATATGTTTAGTGTTATTATTTATTACAGATACTTGTATAGCGCTGCCAATTTACACAGCGCTTTACATATATATTGTACATTCACATTAGTCCTTAACCCTGAAGGAGCATACGATCTAAGGTTCTTAACTCACATTCACACATACTCATACTAGGGCCAATTTTAGAAAGGATCCAATTAACCTACCAGCATGTCTTTGGAATGTTGGAGGAAACCAGAGCACCCAGAGAAAACCCACACATGCACAACTCCAGGTGGTGCCTTGGTTGGGATTCGAACCAACAACCCTAATGCTGCCAGGCAAAAGTGCTAACCATTTAGCCACTGAGCTGTCTATATGTTAAATATGTACATGCTATTAACTGGTTATCCTTTTTCAATTTCTACTTTCCTATATAATAAGCTTGTTGATAGGCAGCATACTGGAAAAAAAAAAAAGGAAAAAATGAATAAAACCTGGAGAAGGCAGGCCAACTTCCTGTATCCAGATACTTTTCAGCTCTGGATGCACACAAAAATGGCACAAATGGAAGATAATTTTGTTGGCAGAAATACCCATAAGCCTCATACATTGACATATACAGTACACTCTGTGCAGCTTACTGATCTTGATTACCTTATACTACCCTGTTTTCTTAACCAGTTAGGGACTTTGGGCACATTACACTTAATTGTAGTACAGGCCATGTGTAGTACACCCTGTCTTCTCCCCTGTAGGGAAGAGATCAGCCATGATTAGACACAAGTCTGAACTTTGAGAAACAATCTTTGAAAACCTCCTTGGTGGTGCTGATGACCAAATGTTGATCCAGGCCGGACTACAGGAAGTTAAGGATTTGTCCCATGGGGTACTTTCTAGGATGAACTTTTCCTAGCCTTGCACCACACAAAGAAACCCTACCAGGTGTGATGATTACTTAATAAAATAGGCCCTCAGGACCTTGGCGTCAACGGCCAAGCTGTCAAAGCAAGCAACCAAGAAGTAGAATGGTGCAGCGGTCATTGAGACAGAAGATCTGGACTGTCCAGTAGGGTGTACAGAGAATCTGTTGGGAGTCGGAATGATCCAACACCAGAGCATCCACTGCAAAGGCCTAAGGATCATTGTTCTTGGTGATAAACTTGTCCAGTTGTCGTTAAGTGAATGCCAGAAGGTCCACATCTGGTGTTGTTGTCCCCCCCCCACCTGAGACAGAGAGCTTGAAACCACTCCCATTGCTAACTATGGAAGTCCATTCACAAACTGTCTACACCTTGGGATGTGCAAAGTAGTGGGGAGCTAGGATGCAGAGTTCTGCCAAACCAGAAAGAGACCGGTTTTCTTTGAGTTGTATGACTTCTGGTACCTCATTGATGGTTAATTCAAGTCACTGCTGTGGCTTTGTTTGGATTTTGGTCAGGGGACCTCGGAGTTGAGGGGTCCAGCATTGAAGGTACAAATGAATCGACCTGAGTTCCAGGTTGTTGATGGGAAGCGAAGCTCCCTTCAATGACCAAGTCAATGGCTGTGAATATTTCATTTTTACATTTCCAGCCAGAAGGTATCGTTTCAAGCTGACTAATCAACCCCCACCTTCCTCTTTACACGCCTTTTCTGACAGCTGTTTGATTAAAAAAAAATCTATTCAAACTGAAATCATACGTCTACTGTGCACTCTCTTTATAATGCCAAGAATGCTCTGTGACATTAGCATCATGGGAGCATTCTTCATTAAAAGTTTAGGTGTTAGTTTATTACATAAAGATTTTAAATAAGAACTACAAAAATGCATAAAACATCACAAATTCTATAAAGACGTTTAAAATAAATGTGACCCAAAACCATTATAAGTTAAATAAAATCTAGATTACTGGTGGAAATGGATGAGACGGAGATCAAAAGCAAAAGGCTCAGACCAACACTTAGGTCATGCTCACAAATACATGTGTGAGGCGCCACACACAGCTCCCCAAACCTAAGGCCTTCCAGATGATATTTGGGCACTCTAATATGGGCAGCAAATTCTGCAAAAAACAGTAGAAAATGCTTTGCTGCTCTTTTTGCTGGAGGCCTAGAATGACAAAAGCAATGTACCATTATAAACAATACATTTCAATATATGCCGAGGTCTATACCTGTTGCACTTTTTTCTATTCTCAAAAGAAAACACTAGAGGGTACAGATGTTATTATCTTCCACCGGGTCGAATTAAGTGGATCAGGAAGGTCCTGACTAGTTTCACTCATGCAGAGTGTAATAAAATTTTACTATGTGGAGCCAGATATTTTACTGAAAGAAAGCATTTATGAAGGCTTATCTTGGGCAGCCTGATTGTTCATGCAGGAAATCAGTAGTTATGCTATACTTTAAATAGCACAGCTTTTGAACTAGTTAGGAGCACAGATGCAGGTAAACTTGCTTTTATATAAGCACATGTACTGAAAAAATATTTCAAGATAAATATGGCACTACACTAAATACCCACATCTCCTTATATATTAAAGACATAAAAGAGCTTAAGCTAATCACTGTTTTAGGAGTGATTATAAAATTATTAGTAAAATAAAGAAAATTAAGAAAACTAACAACTATGCTTTGTTAGCCCCTGAACTGATATTTTTGCATTTAATCCAAGGTTATTTCATGTAAACCCTGAAATGTAAAAATGTAAGCATTTCAGTTTTGGCAAAAAACAAAAAGAAAAAAAAGTGGTCCAAGGATATACTACATTAAAAAACGTGGCATAAACCACCTTGTATATGCATTTATTTAAGCAATCAATGTGCAGGGTAAATAGTACAACCATACTGCCCGATAAAAAAAATGACCAGTCATCTGTACAAAGATAATGAGTTTCACACCCGGTTTCCCACACTGCAGTTGAACGCACTGCCCCTTGTACCAAATCAAAAATGCAACCCATTAGTGGGCACCAGATTGCATGGTACCATAGCACCATGCGGTTCAGTACAGTGCAAGCACTACTTTTTGCAGGGTCCAGTGTGTTTTACAGCCAATTCAAATAAATGGGCTGTCAAAACAGATTGCACAGGAACACGTACGTTTCAGAGCGATCCAGCCCAAAATATAAAATCTGAAAAAAAATTGTGGTAGTTAATGTGCATCCATACCTCAAGCTTTTTTTTTTTCTTTCGTTAGTATTGAATGGAGTTGGGAAAAATTAAAACTCCTGTCAGACTTTACTGCAATGGGAAGCTCTGGGAGATGCACCTTCATTTTCTGTCTGTTAAATAGCTTGTCTCCAGGATAGCAACATGGACAAATAAATATATATTTTTTTTATTAAGTAGGGGACTAAAGAACCTCGGTCAGCCTTTCATTGCTGAAAGTTGCTCACTACCTGTTTGGTAAAGTTTGTTCCCAAAACAGAAAGTGAGAGAAAATCTAAACGAAGCCCCAGAAACAGACAAAAGTGAAAAAGCTTCTTTTTTTAACATTAATTAGGAGGTATGCCAGGACAGGTCAGCTTTTTATCATTGTCCATTTCCCTGTTGCAGATTTTCTCTCACTTCCTGTATGCTAAAAGGTTATTCCCAGAACAGAGATCTCTATAAAAAAGCCATGGATAGCAGTAAAACCCAACAAGGGTTCTACCGTTTCCCCATTTATTACCAAAAATAAAAAATGTCGGGTATAGGTAAACTTTAACTGCACACCTCTTTCTTGCTAACACAGAGACTGTTCACTTTAGAGGAGTCGTACCTTAGTGCCCACTTTAAATGTCTAGGAATTACTGGGGCAAGCAGCTGCCTGAGCTGGACTCAGTCAGGTCATTTTCCTTGCAAGGGCTGTGCAGTGCCAGGTAGGGCTGCACAGTGAAAATCTCCAGGACAAGGCTGAAGGTAAATCATTATGGGTTACACTGAGGCAGAAGGGAAGGAGTAGTAGACAACTTCAATAAAAGCTAATTGTTATATGTTATTTAAGTATTTTTTGCTGCAGTATTTACTTTTACTATTACTAAAAATCAATGTTCAAATAACCATTTGATTAAAATGGGAGGCCATTATCTAGAAAACCTCTTTAAGACAACCCATTCCTATTGTTTAACAGAACATAATCACCATAATTCACAAACCAAATTCCATACCATATGTCCCTCAGCCCGTGCTTTGTTTTGCATGGCTTCCTGCTTCCTCTGCCAGAATTCCTCAACCTGTCTTGCTCGTTCAGCAGCCACATGTCCTCGATGTCTGAAGCACAAAATAATAGCAAAGCACTCAGATAAATCTCTTGCAGTATTTTAAAACAAAAGCAATTATTCTTTAAAAATTAAAAAATAAACACATTATCATTGTATTCCCAGGATAAAATTAGGCAGGCCATAGACTGTGCGAATTTCTCAAATCGCTAGATTTCCCCATCAACACAGGTAGTGTTGATGGGGGAATCCCTCCCGCAGAGCTATTGTGTTCTCCAAGCGGGGAAAACCTTCCCCACTGAGAGAAGACAGTGATTATTGCTAGTGGGTACAACAGTCGATCAACTTTGGTACAATCAGCCTGCTCATACATAGTTTGAATGTCAGCTGGTTCCTAGCTGGCTTTACTGTAGAATCTGCCTATCTAGATTTAGACAAAACATTTTCATTGTATGCAAACACAACACAACAAATAGAAACAAATTCTCTTAAAGCGGCCACATTCAGAAATCACAGATTCATAATTATTCACAATTCGATAAAAAAGGGTTTCATTTGGAATCTATGTGAGTAAGAAAATAATAATTGAACATTTTGCATCAATAATACTATCCTTGTCATGAATGAGGCACTAACAACCGACTTTGTATACAGTCAAGGAAATAAGTATTTGATCCCCTGCTGATTTTTAATGTTTGCCCACTCACAAAGAAATGATCAGTCTAAAAATCGAATGGTAGGTGTATTGTAACACTGAGAGACAGAATAGCAACAAAAAATTAAAAAAAATGCATGTCTAACAAATTATGCACTGTTTGCATGTTCATGAGGGAAATAAGTATTTGAACCCCTTCACAAAACATGTACTTGGTGGCAAATCCCTTGTTGGCAATCACAGAGGTCAGACGTTTCCTGTAGTTGGCCACCAGGTTTGCACACATCTCAGGAGGGATTTTGGCCTACTCCTCTTGGCAGATCCTCTCCAAGTCATTAGGGTTTGGTGGCTGATGTTTGGCAACTTGAACTTTCAGCTCTGGCAACAGATTTTCAGTCAGATTAAGGTCTGGAGACTGGATAGGCCAATCCAGGACCTTAATGTGCTTCTTCTTGAGCCACTCTTTTGTTGCCTTGGCCATGTGTGTTGGGTCATTGTCATGCTGAAACACCCATCCACAACCATGCCCTGACTGAGGGAAGAAGGTTCTCACCCAAGATTTGACGGTACATTTCCCTGTCCATCATCCCTTTGATGCGTTGCAGTTGTCCTGTCCCCTTAGCAGAAAAACACCCCTAAAGCAGAATGTTTCCACCACGTTTGACAGTTGGGATGGTGTTCTTGGGGTCATAGGCAGCATTCCTCCTTCTCCAAACACGGCGAGTTGATGCCAAAAAGCTCGATTTTGGTCTCACCTGACCGCAACACTTTCAACCAGTCCTCCTCTGCATCATTCAGATGTTCAGTGGCAAACTTCAGACGGGCCTGGACATGTGCTTTTCTTGAGCAGAGGGACCTTGCAGGCACTGCAGGAATTCAATCCTTGTCGGCATAGTGTGTTACCAATTGTTTTCTTGGTGACTGTGGTCCCAGCTACCTGGAGATCATTGACAAGATCCTCATGTATAGTTCTGGGATGATTCCTCACTGTTCTCATGATCATTGACACTCCACAAGGTGAGATCTTGCATGGTGCATCAGACCTAGGGAGACTGACAGTTGTTTTGTGTTTCTTCTATTTGCAAATAATTGTACCAACTGTTGTCACCTTCTCACCAAGCTGCTTGGCGATAGTTTTTGTAGCCCAGTCCAGCCTTGTGTAGGTCTGCAATCTTGTCCCTGACATCCTTGGACAGCTCTTTGGTCTTTGCCATGGTGGAGAGTTTGGAATCTGATTGTTTGATTGCTCTTGTAGACAGGTGTCTTTTATACAGGTAACAAAATGAGATTAGCAGAACTCCCTTTAAGAGACTGCTTCTAATCTCAGCTTGTTAGCTGTATGAAAGACACCTGGTAGCAAGAAATCCTGCTGAATAATAGGGGATCAAATACTTATTTCCCTCATGAACATGCAAATCAGTGCATAATTTGTTAGAAATGCATTTCTTTTTAAATTTTTGTTGCTATTCGGTCTCTCAGTGTTACAAGACACCCACCATTCGATTTTTAGACAGATCATTTCTTTGTGAGAGGGCAAACATTCAAAATCAGCAGGGGATCAAATACTTATTTCCTTCACTGTATGGGGGTAAAGAAGTTCTTCAGGAAAGATAAAAATTATTTTCATTTATTCGCAAAGGGTACTTTTTTAATGATTTATAGCCAGGGACACTTGCCCTGGGAGCAGTATTGCTGTGGGGGGGGGAGAAGGTCAAGTTAGGAGCTTCAGCCTCTCTGTACTCTGGCACCTCAATGACAGGAGGGACTGCTCTGTCATTCTTGTCAGAAGGAACAGGCACTTTGATAGTGCAACATGTTACAAACGAGCACCTGCCTGCGCCCTCTGATTCCCTGCTGTGACAGCAGGTGGGGGATCTTCTCACCTGCTGTCACAATTTAAAAATAGCATGGAAGTGTGGGGCTCCATCCACACGGCCATGTAGTTCATGCACAAAGTTATGTGAAGGAATGAGCTACAACTACGGTCTACCATTTTGGCAGCTTGCTTTTAGTTCTCAATTAACTGAGATGGTACTGGTGAGCGCTCTCGTCTTTCATTGATCTCCTGCTCTCCAGTAACTGTCTTCCTGTATAGGAGGTACAGGTAGACAGCTATATTGAGAGTCTACAGGAACCTGGCATTGCACCCTTGATCTGCTGATCGTGGATGCAATGCTCTGCAGGCTGCAGAAAAATAAAAAAATAAATGCACATTTTTTTTACTGGCAAAAATATGTGCATTTATTATTTTTTTAAGTGAACTTATCCTTTAATGTTATTTTAGATCATTCAACCTTGTATGTGTTCTGGATAACAAAAGATCAAAATTACAGAGTATTTTTTCAGCATAGCAGCAAAATGACTAAGTAGAAATTGTGGAGAAGTATCATGAGTGGACAACATGCAGGCTACAAGTGGTAAATATGAACTATTTATATGCAATATTTCATAATCAAAGCGATTGTAAAGGGCATTTTTTTTTTTCATTAAAAACCTTCTGTGTGCAGCAGCTTCCCCCGTACCCTCAATACTTACATGAGTCTCTGTGAATGGAAACATGGAGCAGTGGGTGCCCCCATTGCAAGCTGCTTGCTGCGGGAGCACCCGACAGACAGGAGGAGACAAGAGAGCCTGTGGGGGACCCGAGAAGAGAAGGATCCAGGCTGCTCTGTGCAAAACCACTGCACACAGTAGTTAAGTATAGACATGTTTGTTTTTTTAAAAAAATTAGCCTTTAGAATCGCTTTAATGCATAGAATACATTAAGGGAAAAAACTTCTAGGGTTAGAATCACTTTAAAATAAATATAAAGCCTACTATTTTATCATAAAAGATAAGTCAATATGCAAATCTCTATGTTAAACTAAAAATTAGTACATTTACTTCTAAACTGGCCTGAGCATGTGCGTTATAAGATATTGAAGGTTGAAGGGATCCAGCAGGGCACATTGTTTTTATATAACATACAAGCCCCTGCAAAACCAACATATCTTTTTACCACAATGAGGCTATGAGTTAATATATATATATATATATATATATATATATATATATATATATATAATATATATATATATATATATATATATATATATACATACACACACACACATATACACACACACACACACACACACACACACACACACACACACATATATTGACTACAATGACTGCACAGGTGACAATGCATTAGAGATTTTAGGTGGACCATAACAACAAAAGAAAGTACAAAAACACTCATTCCTTTTAACAATGCAAAGAGAGTAAATCAATGACTGACATCACAGCGTACAGCAAAAAAATTAACAAAAACAAGAATTCTCCTGTTGCTTTGTAAAATCATGTTTTCCAGGGTCACTTCTGTACAACAGTAACAAACTAAGAAAGAGTGGTTAGGCATGCCTTACCTTTTTTTTTTTTCTTTCCCCATATGCCTTACAGAATAATTGAGGTTGCATAAAATAAAAGTGTTGTTTAGCATTCTGAGATGGCACTGGGTCATGTTATATGGCCAATTCAACACACCCTTCACACACAGCTGTGTGCACTGTATACAACTACTTTTATTGGTAAAACAGAAAACACCTGATGTCTCTTTTACTATCACTGACCGATCTGAGCGTGCTTGTCGGGAAACATCCTCAAGCCTCTTCAATTCCTTCCTCACTGCATCTCCATCAGGTAAAGGATAATGAGCAGAAGGGCCATTAGGAGCTTCTGGTTGTGCAGCAACTCTGCAGATGAAAGAGAAAAACAATACCAAGGCTTGTTGATGGATTACTGACTGAATATAGTTTTTTGGGGATATACACCCTGTTCCAAATTATTATGTAAATTCTATTTAAGTGTCACAAAGATTAAATATTTTGTTTTTCAGTTTAACTCATGGATGGCATTGTGTCTCAGGGCTCTTTTGATCACTGAAAACAATCTCGGACACCTGTGATAATTAGATTGGCAGGTGAGACCAATTTAAGGAGAAACTACTAAAGGACGGTGTTCCACATTTTTAAGCAGAGCACCATTTTCAAGCAATATGTGGAAGAAAAAGGATCTCTCTGCTGCCGAAAAGAGTGAAATAGTTCAATGCCTTGAACGAGGTATGAAAACATTAGATATTTCATGAAAACGTAAGCGTGATCATCGCACTATTAAGAGATTTGTGGCTGATTCAGAGCACAGACGGGTTCGTGCAGATAAAAGCACATTGAGGAAGATTTCTGCCAGATCCATGCATCAAGAGAGCAGCTGCTAAAATACCATTACATAGCAGCAAACAGATATTTGAAGCTGCTGGTGCCTCTGGAGTCCCACGGACATCAAGGTGTAGAGTCCTCCAGAGTCTTGCAACTTTGCATAAACCTTCTATTCGGCCACCACTAAGAAATGCTCACAAGCAGAAACGGCTGCATTGGGCAGAAAAATACATGAAGACTAATTTTCAAACAGTCCTGTTCACTGATGAGTGCCGTGCAACCCTGGATGGTCCAGATGGATGGAGTAGTGGATGGTTGGTGGACGGCCACCCTGTTCCAACAAGGCTGCGACGTCAGCAAGGCAGTGGTGGAGTCATGTTTTGGGCCAGAATCATGGGAACAGAGCTGGTCGGCCCCTTTAGGGTACCCGAAGGTGTAAAGATGACCTCTGCAAAGTATGTGGAGTTCATGACTGACCACTTTCTTCCCTGGTACAGTCTCTGCCCATTTCCTGTACTATGTCTGCAGTGCATTGGTTCAGAATATTTTTTTTCTTGTTTTCCTCCTCTAATATGGTCAGGTGCATCTTATGGAGCGAAAAACACGGTACAAACCTTTGTGCCGCGTCAGCATTTTGTACTTCTGCTCGGTGTTTGGCCTCTTTGTCCTCTGCTGCTTTAATGTTTTCTTTCTGCTTTTGCATTTGGTCTAGTATGGAATGATAATACTCATAGGAAGAGCGACCTGCAGCTTGTGGAAGAACTATGCTTTCCATAATAAAATCATCTTCATGCATAACAATGCACCATCTCATGCTGCAAATAATACCTCTGCATCAATGGCTGTTATGGGGATAAAAGGAGAGAAAGTCATGGTGTGGCCTCCATCCTCCCCTGACCTCAATCCTATTGAGAACCTTTGGAGCATCCTCAAGCAAAAGATCTATGAAGGTGGGAGGCAGTTTACATCCAAACAGCAGCTCTGGGAGGCTATTCTGACATCTTGCAAACAAATTCAAGCAGAAACTGTCCAAAAACTCACAAGTTCAATGGATGCAAGACTTGTGAAGCTGCTATCAAATAAGGGGTTAAAATGTAACGTGACCTGTTAAAATGTTTAAAAAGTTAAAATGTTTTTAAAAGTTTAATTGAAATAGCTTTTGATTTCAGTAAATATGCTGCAAACACAACAAATGACAATTTTCAGTTCTTTACAACCTATAAAGTGTTTTAAAACTTACTGTGCAAAATAATTTGGAACAGTGCATTGTAAGTTTTTTATGTTTAAAAAAAATACTGTTATCACTAGGAGGTTTGTTCAATAAAATTTGAATTGTACTCTTAATAGTTGATAACATGAGAATTATGTTGACTGTTATTTACATCAATTATTTAGGTATATGAGAAAAATATCATTTGCATAATAATTTGGAACAGGGTGTATATATATATATATAATTTTTTTTAAATGACATATATAGTGTCCGCACAGCTGATATCTAAATTCCCTCTCACTAGTAGCTACTAGTACCCTTGTGATTCACTTCACAAAATTATAAAAAAAAATAAAATAATGTGCAGCACTTATCTACTATGTCCGCAGTCTCTGGCCATCTCCTGTGCTATGTCCGCAGTCTCTGGCCATCTCCTGTACTGTGTCCGTAGTCTCTGGTCATCCCCACTGTGTCCCCTGGTCATCCCCTGTACTGTGTCCGCAGTCTCTGGTCATCCCCTGTACTGTGTCCACAGTCTCTGGTCATCTCCTGTACTATGTCCGCAGTCTCTGGTCATCTCCTGTACTGTGTCCGCAGACTCTGGCCATCTCCTGTACTGTGTCCGCAGACTCTGGCCATCTCCTGTACTGTGTCCGCAGTCTCTGGTCATCCCCTGTACTATGTCCGCAGTCTCTGGTCATCCCCTGTACTATGTCCGCAGTCTCTGGTCATCTCCTGTACTATGTCTGCAGCCTCTGGTCATCTCCTGTACTATATCTGCAGTCTCTGGCCATTTCCTGTACTATGTCTGCAGTCCATTGGTTCAGAATATTTTTTTTCTTGTTTTCCTCCTCTAATATGGTCAGGTGCATCTTATGGAGCGAAAAAACACGGTACAAACCTTTGTGCCGCGTCAGCATTTTGTAATTCTGCTCGGTGTTTGGCCTCTTTGTCCTCTGCTGCTTTAATGTTTTCTTTCTGCTTTTGCATTTGGTCTAGTATGGAATGATAATACTCATAGGAAGAGCGACCTGCAGCTTGTGGTGGCGCTGCCCCTCCGCCTCCCCCGAAAAATGGTGTCTGTAAAAGAACATTTTTTAAGACCTAAACATGAAACCATTATGCTGATCTATAAAGACAGTTTATTTAGGTCTGAACAAAATTATGTAAATGTCTTGTGATTTCACCTTAATTTCTCCACTTCCTCCTGAACCAATTACATTCTTCCAACCTTGCTCTCTTGCACGATTTATTCGCTCCAACTAAAACCATAAATGTAAATAAGTTAGCAAGAAAATAGATATAAAGGAAAGACTAAGCGCATATATGCAACATTTTGAAGTAGGATAAGGATACAATAATCTATTGTCACCTGTTAAAGTTTTTGCTTTGTACATACAGTTAAGCCTATAACAAGGCTTACTTGTAGGTACCGTAAATATCTCCTAAATCTGCACCATTTAGGAGATATTTACCTGTGTGGTAAATGTCGCTGGTGACATCACTGGTGCATTCGCTCTGAAGGAATGGCTACCCGTGCCGATCCTTCAGAGCCCTGTGCCGTAAACAGTGACTCCCGTGTGCATGCGTGGAAGTGATGTCATTGTGGCTTGGCAAATTAAACAGCTGCAACCAGGGGACCTGAAGAAAAAAAAAAAGCACAGGTAAAGATGGATTCCTGGAGGGCTCCATTTCACAGGCAAGTCTGTCACAATATGCTACTATGTGGTGCATACCAGTACATTCTGACTTTACCCTGTGGGGGGACTAGTTTATTTTTCAAGCAGCAGTTTACTACCGCTTTATAGACAGAAATAAAGAACTTTGTCGTTTCAGGGGCTGGAAGGACAGCAGTACACTTCCAAACAGTAATAGTCGTGAAAGGTGTTTGGGAGGAGAATACGACCAGCAAGTTTTAGTCATCTTTGCTTTGAGTTCAGTGGGCACTGAGGGGAGGTGCTTTCCTGTTCACAATTTAACAGTCAACCTAGAATCTTGTGGTTTTCTTTTTTCATGTGAGAAAAAGCCATGCATTTATTTTATATGCATCCATACAGTATGTTCAGTGTATTTGCAGTCAAATTGGGGTAACACCTATTTTACATTTGTTATATGTTCCCTTTCACATAGCATAATTAAACAAAATATACAAAAATGCAGTTTACCTTTTTAAATGATCTTTTCTGAAAACTTCCTGATTGAAAAAAAACATGTTTAGCTTTCTCTTCTCTGTAATGATCATAAGGGGGCTGGGAAGTTAATGTTTACCATAATTAACCCTGTCTGAACTGTGCTGGCATCTCATCAGTTATAATCTGGATTTGAACACTGTCTGTCCTTATAAAGATATGGACACTGAGTTTCTTGCATTGTATGTTAATGATGGGAAGTCTGTGTGGGGACAGAGTCACTGTGAAAATATTGCAAGAGTAACTTGCAGTTGGGCCAGATATCTGCTCCAAACAAACATATATGCAAGAAATATTTTTTTTACATTTATTTTAATTATGCTGTGTGAATAAGAACATATAACAAACATATAAGGGTTGATTAACTAAAACTGGACCGTGCAAAATCGGGTGCCGCCTTGCTTAAAAACTAATCAGGTTTGAGTTTTTTTTGTCAAATGTTTAATTAAACAAGCTGAAATTAACCGGATTGTCTACCATGCACAGCTGCACCAGATTTTGCACTCACCAGTTTTAGTAAATCTCCCCCATAGTGTTTTCTTTTTCAAATTTGACTGTAAAAGTTTTAAAAGGATAAGGTGAATTCTAACAAGGAACTTCTCTTATTTGTCTCTTTGGTTTGTTAAATAAACCATTGAAATATTGTAATTTCTGTTCAATAGGTGCGATAAATATCCATTGACCCTGCCAGAAATCTTGTCAACTTCCTGCACTGCATTCTTATCAGTTACATTGTTCTCAGTTATCTCTGAGGACTACAGAATCTCTCCCCTCTAGGCACGGTAGCCAAATCATGGCATTTATAGTCCTGTCCTATGATGACAAAGTTGCTTCTCCATAGGTAAGTTACAGTGAGTAACTATCAAAGTAGTACAAGAAGTATATTACTGGATCACCAAGTAGAAAAAAAAAAAAAAAATATATATAAAAAAAAAAATCAAATAAAGCCATCACAGCTAAGGACTGGTAAGCTGCAATATATATACATTTTTGTTCCCGAGTTTAGATATGCTTTATGTATTTTAACAAAAAGACAACCATTTTTAGATTGTAAAGTAAGCTCTAATGAGCAGGGCCCTCTGTTTCCTCTTGTACCAATTTGTATTAGAACTGTAATGTCTACCTTCATTTTGTAAAGTGCTGCGCAAACTGTTGGCGCTATATAAATCCTATATAATAATTGGGAAAGAGAGGGGATAAAGTGGTTAGAATTCTTGCCCTTAAGCTCTGCATCCTGCGTATACTGTTAGTGCTGTGTGTAATTTTGTGTATTGTGTATGTTCTTCCCATGTTTGCATGGGCTTCTCCCGAGTGCTCCAATTTCCATCCTAAACCTTCTGGGTTAATGGATTTTCTCCTAAAACTGGCCCTACTTACTGTGTTTAAGTGCAATAGTGACATTGGATTGGAAACTCCTTCAGGTTAAGGAACTGTTACAAATGGATCTACAACTACGCTGTGGAGCACTTGATTATATGTTACTGCTAAGTAGATCACTGATGTAAGAAATAATAAATGAGTCTAATCATTGCCAGTTTAGTTGAAACTGACCGTTACAATACTGCCACCTTGTGGACAAATATGAGATGACAGAAAACCCGCAGTATACAGTATTTTAAAGTGATTCTACAAGCTTACAATATATATATTAAAAAAATCAGCTTCGAGTTTTGGTTTTGCACAGAGCAGCCCGGATCCTCCTATTCTCGGGTCACCCGCAGGTGGATCCTGGTCCCTCGTTCATGTCAGGTGCCCCCACAGCAAGCAGCTTGCTATGGGGGCACCTGCTGCTCTCTGTGTCCATTCGCACAGGGAGCCGCGGCTCGGCCCAATCACCTCTCTCTTCTCATTGGCTCACTGACTGTGATTGACAGCCAAAGGCTCCCGCTGCTGTCTCAGCCAATGAGGAGAGAGAGTCCCGGGATAGCCGAGACTCCAGTGCACATCGCTGGATCAAGGGGGGCTTAGGGGAGTATTAGCAGGGGGATGCTGCACAGAGAAGGTTTTTTGCCTTCATGCATAGAATGCATGAAAGTAAAAAAACCCTTCAGCCTTTACAACCACTTTAATTAATCAGAACCAAATTCTGCAGGGGGAGGGAAGGCTCTTGCCATGTGCCATTACATTTTATTTATTTTTTTACAATTTAAGCAGCACATCACACATATATATTGTACATTCACATCAGTCCCTGCCCTCAAGGAGCTTACAGTCCAAGGTTATGAAACATTTACCTCCTAGTATGCCCTTAGCATGGGAAGTTTTATCTATTTTTGCAAAACAGACTTTGCATGTGTTTTCTGCAAAAAAAAATAACTCTCCCTGCAATTTTTTGATGTGGTACTTTGGTTCAAATATAAGAGAGAGGTTATATCAGTACAAGTTGATGTTGTACTCAATAAATGCAGCAGCTGAAAATGTGAAGTGGCAAGTGTACATCCAAGAATGTTTTGAGATTATGATCAGCTATGAATGCTCTAACTGCCTGGAGAAATTTGATCAGACTACATTTATTCAATTACATGAAGAAAACAAAACACACATGGAATAGAGAGATGCGTCAAAAAAGAAGCACAAAGAAACATTATATGGTATCAGTAAGATCATTCAGTTTACCCTTTCCTTCTCCAATCGTCTCATCTGTTCTGCTTTCAGTAAATTTATCTAACAGGGGATTAGAAAGGAGATAGTAACACTTGGAAGGATGCATGGGACTAATATACAAGAACAGAAGAAAACAAAATCTCCATAACAGTTTCCATATTTCAGTTTAATAATCTCTTGTTTTTAAACTACATAAAAGGACATTTGTCTCAAGAGAAATATCGAGGCTGCCATTACTGACCTCTTCTACTGGACCCAGCTACCTGTGGAACAAGTATGCAAACAAGGACTTCTTCTCGGACTTTCACTACCCGCATACTTCCAGGTCAATGACTGTGTTCATATTTGAACCGCATCATATTTCAACATTTGAACCGCATCCAATCCGCATGACATGTTAAATAACATTGCTTCCTATGGTGCCTGTTCACATATGTCCGATGCACTAGCGGTGTGGATTCAATGTGGTTTGAAAAAGAGTCATGTACAATTTCTGAGCAGTATCTCCAGGTTCAGGTGCAGATTATTGACTTCCATGGGAACCGTTTTTTAAACCCCACATGTGTGAACAGGATAAAACCCTGACTTAATCCTGTCCTGAACCTGATGTAAACCTGACATAAACTGCTGAACAACTATTGTGTCAGTTAGCTGTGAAACCTGAGCTTCAATCCACACCCCACATGTGTGAATCAGTTCTAAATATCCAATTACACACATAATTAACTCCTGAAGGACCTGAGCTTCAAAGAGAGGATTTGCAAAGAGTACAACACTGAATCTTTGTTATACTAACATGTGCATACCACATCATCTCACTAAAACCTTAAATAATCATGAGTAATGCTATACCACGGGTGCTCAACCTGTGGCCCTCAACCTCAAACCAAGGAAGCACATGCCTTGAAATCAGCAACCCACTGATCACAATCTGGGCTTGCCCACCCGCCATCCCAGAGCATCAGAGTGCATCAAGCCGGCAGCAGAGGAAGCAGGCAGCCGCAGAAGGAGCAGGAGCTGCATAAGACAATGCGTCCTCTTTAGTGCTAGCTCCTGTCCCAGCAGAGTGATACCAAGTGCACTTCACCTAGGACCATTTTAGCAGCCTGGAGATGGACAGTGATGCAAGCAGATGCTCTAAGTGGAAAAAGATGGTCAGTGTATTAAACTTAACATACACTGCACTTTTGCAATGGGCATATTAGCACCTGTAAAAGTGATAACCATAGGGTGCTTTCACACTGATCTGCAAGTTGCAGTGCACCTGTGGCTTTCCTGCGGGTTAGCTGCACTAAGCCATAGACTTTTATTATATCCTGCTGGTTTGGTGCGCTTTTTGAAAATGCATCAAAACTCCTCAATGTAGTAGTTTTGGGGAGCTTTCACAAAGTGCATCACACCCACAAGATATAATAGAAGTCTATGGCAAAGCGTAAACCTGCCGCATGCTCCAAGGGGCCTACGTGGCCTCTCTGTCACATTCGGTTTTACACTTGGACAGGAGGGACAGCATATACAGGAACCAATCCTCCCCATTTTCCTCCTTTTTCACACAAATAGAACTTTCTTTTGATGGTATTGGACTACCACTGGTTTTTTTATATTTTTGTGATATAAACGAAAAAGACAGAAAAATTAAAAAAAAAAAAAAAAAAAAAACACAAACAATATTTTCTACTTTAGTTATAAAAAATATTCAGTAAACTCAAAAGTTAGTCATAAATTTAGGCCAAATGTATTCTACGACATGTCTTTGGTAAAAGAAAAAATCCCAATATGTGTTTATCAACTGTTTTGGTGAAAGTTATGGAACATATATTGGAATTTATGCAGCTTTGACTTTCTGCCTATCACATTTCTTGAGGTGCTAAAATGCCGGGCAGTACAACCCCCCCCCCCCACAAAAATGACCCCTTTTTGGAACGTAGACACCCCGAGGAATTTGCTAAGAGTCCATTTGAGTCCATGGAAGATTTATTTTTTGCCACAAATTTTTGGAAATTACGAACATTTTTTTTTATTACACAAAGTTGTCAATTAAATGATATATTGCTCACGCATGCCATGGGTATATGTGGAATAACACTCCAAAACACATTCTGCTACTTCTCCCGAATATGGGGATGCCACATGTGTGAGACTTCTTTGGCAGTCTAGCTACATACAGGCCCCAAAAATGCAATGACCACCTTCAGGCTTTCAAAGTGCATATTTCCTCATATCATCAGTTCCTGACTACCCATCACAGTTTCCGAGGCCCTAAAATGCCAGGATAATAAGAGCCCCCCCCCCCCCCCCCTCCTTTTTGGAAAGTAGGCAACCCAAGGAATTTGATAAGAGGTATGGTGAGTATTTTTCAGATATCATTTTTGTCAAGGGGTTTTGAAAAAGAAAAGAAAAAAATACATTTTCGTTTTCTTTCTTCTGTTTCCAAAAACTTGTGGCAACAAGTGAGATTGGCAAAATATTCACCATGCCCCTTAGCAAATACCTTGGAGTGTCTACTTTGCAAAAAGGGGTCATTTGGAGGGGGTGCTTCTACTATCCTGGCATTTCAGGCCCAACATTAGAAGCTTATGCCACACATCACGCACGTTTCTAACCACTTGAAGACCAAGCTTTTTCTGACACTTTTTTTGTTTACATGAAAATACAGATTTTTTTGCTAGAAAAATAGTTTGAACTCCCAAACATTATAATTTTATTAAAAGGCGGGTGTTGAAATTTTTTTATGTCACACAGTATTTACAGAGCGATTTGTCAAACGCATTGTTTTGGGGAAAAACCTTTATCAAACAACTGGGCAATATATTGTGTTGTTTGTGCATTAAAATTATAAAATATGTTATGGCAAGTAAATGGATACCAAACATGACATGCTTAAAATTGCGCACATCCGTGAAACGGCTACAAACTATGTAAATATTTATTATCCGTGATGTTTTAAAAGCCTTTACAGGTCATCACCATTTTATATTTACATAGGAGGTCTGGTGCTAGAGTTCCTTCCATCAATCTGATGTTCGCGTCGATACCTCACGTGCATGGTACAAGCTCTGTTTACATACCAAACACAGGACCACCGCTTTAGGTCGCCTTTGCATGCCAGCATGGGGATGGGGGCGAGTTTTACATTTTAATTATTATTTATTTTTTTTTCTTTTTTTTTTTTTTTACACTATCAGTTTCATTTTTTTTTTTTTATCACTTTTATTGTTATCACAGGGAATGTAAATATCCCCTGTGATAGCAATAGGCAGTGACAGGTACTCTTTTCTGAGAAATCTGGGGTCTACTAGAATCTAGATCTCTCCTCTGCCCTTAAAACATCTGATCACACTAAGATTGGTGTGATCAGATGCTTTTCCAAATTTAAAATGCTGCCATTTATATTTGGCGAAACGGAAATAATGAAATGCTTGTAGCTTCTGTTCTCTTAGACCATAAAGATGACTGGAGGCATTCCGGTCTCCATTTAGCTCTGTGGTCAGCCAGTGGAACTGCCGGCTGCATTCTCGGATTCCCCTATGAGCCAAGGAGTCCAAGAAAACCCTGGAAGGTGGTGGCGGAGGGAAACGTCCCTTCCCACTGCTTCTCCAGCTCTCTTCTCTCCCTTGACTGACATCGCTTTGCCCAGAGCCGCTGCTCACCCACACACTGTGGGTGGGAAAGCGGCAAGTAGTAAAAAATAAAAAAATAAAGAAATTTCTCTCTATTTTTATTTTATAATTTTTTTTTACTATTAAAAATAAACAAAAACTTTCATCAGAGTAGTACAATGTTACCATAGTAACATTGTGCTACTACTCTGGAGGGGTGATCAGTGATTTTCTTTCCTTACACTTTGCTTGCAATAAAGATTATTGCGCTTGCAATGCAATGTTTGCACTGAACTGTCATGAATGAGTTAGGTTCATGACAGTGAAAAAAACAGTGATCTGTGATTGGCTCCTGTTGGTCACATGGCACAGGGTGCTGCAATTGGCCCCATGTATCATGTGAGAGCTGTGGGCATAGCGATGGGGATGCATGCCTGCTCAGGCACACAGCGCCCCATGTTGGAATAACACCAGCAACTTACGGGTACATCGCTGGTCCTGTACCTGCCGCCTGTACACACTATATTGCGGGCGGGCGGACAGAGGATGCTTTTGCACCCCTGTGCTATATGAATGACAACAGATCATAAACTGGGTATAATATATAAATGCTCCTTCCCTGTGGCAAAGCAACTAAACATGAGTTAACACTTCTCTCCAATCAGAAACTACATACACCTGGTCTTCTTCCCTTCAGTTCCTATAACAGCATTGTTGGTTATTGCTCTCATGCACATTAGTTTTAAAATGTGCAAATGAAAATGTATGTTGCTGATTATGTACAAAAGTAAAAATCTTTTTTGATATCAGCCTTACAACAGAAAAGACTACTTACCTGTTCTCTCTGTCTCTTCTCCTTCTCCAGCTGTCTAATGTCCACTCTTTTTTTCTTGGCCACGTCCTGCAATATAAACAAGCCCTCACATTGCTCACACATTCTTTAGTAGAAGCTTCATGGTAAAGAGGTTAGTGGAGTCAAGACAGACAAGGAAAATGTGGTTAGTGGACAAGAGTGGGAAGAAACAAGGAGGAAAAGGTTTGGAGGTGTTTGGTTAGGGTCATTCATTTATTTGCCAGCGCAGGAAAAGCTGGCACCACAAGCAGCACTGCTGAACCCTCCAGCTCTGTAGAACTGGAAGTCAGTCACAATAAAGAAAGCAGGAGGGACAGCTCGATACCTCAAACATTTTCCTCCTTTCTTCTACAGGGTTCACTTTCTTCATGGGAACTGCTGGGGCCTGGACAAAAAGCGAAACTGCAAATTAGAAGTAGTAGTCTTTATGCAAGATTCATGGAGATGTGTGCTATTCCAGGACTCTTATACGGTTTGTACTTATGGTCCATGGAATCCTTGGTATAAACATATAAATCTTTATGAATCTAAAAGAAAGAACACCTTATCCTGCCCAAAGCAATAAGATTCCAGGTGGCCTTTTACCAATGGAAGTTTAACAATTTAAGGAAGACTGTGCGTACTATAGGCACCATAAGCACTTTTTAAAATTTGAAGCCCAAAGGCTATAAACTAATGTATTTACATAAGCCAGAAACCAGTCTTAATAGAGCATATTGAAACCAGAATTTCTAACTTCTGTATGTTTCTCTTACACCTTATATACACATCACAACAGAATTTGGAGTGACGTGGTTGGATTTCTAATGTTGTGATTGTAAGTACTTTTTGATGGTTAGTATCTTTTTAACCTCCTTGGCGGTATGATTCTTTCTGATTTTTTGTGCTGAAAGCGGTACCATTTTTTTGCATGGAAATATGTAGTTTTTTATTGTAGGCTGTAATTTTTAGGAATAACTCACTGAAATCTGTACGAACAAGAGTCTATTAAACATTCCGGATATGATAAAATTTGAAACAAAATCATAAATTATAATTTAATAAATAATCATAAAAAATAATAATAATAATAATACATTTAATTCAATAATATAATCAAACCAAAAACACTGAAATTTGAAATACAGAGGCAAGTTCGCACATCGCTGAGCAAAGTCGCAAAATCGTTTTCAGTGTCTGATGACGAATTTCCCCACGAATCATTATCACTCAATTCTGCAAGTGGTTCTGATTTACGATCGCTGTTCTAAAACCGCTTTTGACGTAAAGGGACGCTTTTTGGACTCCGCCATGGACTTTTCTAAGTTTCCAGGCAGAAAGAACATTCAAAATGCAGGCAGGGCACAGGACAAAGCAGTAGGGACAAAATATTTGTGAAATGCATTGAAACAGCAATGACAGCAAAAATGAAATTTTTTAAAAATTTCAAATTTCCCGCCGGTTCCGGCGCCTGTACGTCCCGACGTCACAGGGACCGGAACACAGAAGTCGGATGCCGGCATCGGCCGGAGGAGATGGCCGGGGACGCTGCAGGGGACACATCGCGGGACCGAAGGACAAGGTAAGTGCTTCAGGGACCCCCAGAGCAACGCTGCATGGTAAGCCCGAGTGTAGCTCGGGTTACCGCTCTTGGTATAGAAATTTTACCCCGAGCTACATTCGGGATTACCGCTAAGGAGGTTAAGTGTTGCTGGCATACATAGAGGAATTCATTGGTACTACTCGTCTGAATAAAATATTCTTATGGTAGATGCTTTCTGAGCTTTTACCCTGGTATCTTCGGATGATCCTTCCTTTTTTCATATGTTTGCTCATGCCCATGTAGGCAAGGGTATATACAATAATCTTGGACAAACACTGTTCTCCCTTTTGTGAGCCTGATGAATGGGTTGTTCTTTCTGCATTATTTTGTAGAAAGTTGTAATCCATATACAAAACGCCTGTACTTTCCTGCTTCTAGTAGCCATCTGGATGGTCTTGGAGCTCGCCTAGCTCATATACGATGGCAGCAATTTCCAACACACTTAATACAAATGGGGTTGATTTACTAAAACTGGAGAGAGAAAAATCTGGTGCAGCTCTGCATAGAAACCAATCAGCTTCCAGGTTTTATTGTCAAAGCTTAATTGAACAAGCTGATGTCAGAAGCTGATTGGCCATCATGCACAGCTGCACCAGATTCTGAGTGCGTCAGTCTTAGTAAATCTCTTCCAATGTATGTAAGTATTACACAAGATGCAAACGCACACATATGGGCAATTTAGTCCATCTAATGGGCGACTGCAATGAATGGTTCTAAAATACGCAGTTTTTGATGTGAGTATTATATTGTAATATGCTTTTGTTTAATTTTAACATTTTACACCTCATTTGTTCTCCTGAAGAAACAGAACTTGATTCCAGGAAATGCACAAGCTAGTCCCCCCCCCCCCCCCCCCAGTTTGATCTGCCAGACATTTAGAGTTTTTCCTAGTTAGTATTTTGATGGTTACATATAAATTGCTTACACGGTTATAGGTACTGGGGGTGCAACATATTCCTTTACTCGCGATATTGAATATAAATTGCTTCAATTTTAAGTCATAATTTTAGCCAAGTGTACAATAATAAAATATTTTTTATTATTTAACTGTTTGGGTGCCTTAAAAGTCTACTGGGTGAACTTTTTACTGTTTCTGCTGCTTATGAGTAAAACAGAGCAATATCAAAGTGGAACTACAGTGCATATAACCACCACAAACCAAAAATGCTATTTATTTCATTGTTAATGTTCACAGCAAACTCCCCCATCCATCCATGTCTCCATGCTTCATTTTGCTGAGAAATCATTCTGAAAAACACCCTCTGGCATTTCTGGCAGTGGCCATCTTGAGTAAGGGCAAGTTATTCATGTAGCATTTACTTCCTGGAATCCATAAAAAATATAGGTCAACATGCACTCAATATGAATCCACTGGATGCTCTGCTTCCACAGGTCTCTCCAGGCACTCTCAGGAACAATCCTTTACGTCCTCACTCCGATGGATAGGTGCTCAAAAGATAAGGAACAAGGAACTCCTCATAGTGTAGTAAGGCTTTATACCATAAAAGTGTATAAAAAATGCCATTCACATAGATACAAGGTTCACAGAACCTATTGCAAGCATTTAAGGGAAAAACAGGGTGAACACAGATGACATCTTTTCCTACACGCACCAAAAAAGACATCACAAGCTTCCATCCAAAAAATAAAGGATTGTTCCTGAGAGTGCCAAGAGAGACCCGTGGAAGCAGAGGATCCAGTGGGATTCATGTTGACCTATATTTTTTAGGGGTCAGCTGTTAAGGTGAGCGTGTACGCCTGAAGGTGGAGGAGCATGATAGATTTGCCCGTCTGTTGAAGTGACTGGTGCATTACTTTAAATGTTGAAAGAAAGAGACTGTTATAACACTTTTGGAGTGCTTTTTGCATTTTTATAAGTGTTATTTATCATTCACCATTTATCTTTTTTTTGTATATTCAGTAGAGCTGCTTATCTTTTTATTTTTTTTTTGTTTAAACATGCACTTTTTGTGAATATCCAGCCCAGTTGAACATTTACTTAATTCGTCATATATTTATTCCACTGGGGGGCTAATTGCTCAGCTAGGCATTTGTTTTACATAATTTTATACTGTTTTTGTTGATTTTCACACTTTATGCTTTAGGTCAGCTGAGTGTTTATTACAGATCAGCCAGGTGTTTACTGCCATTGTAATCGTGTTTTATTTCTGATATACGGTTCACATATTTCACGGTTTTTGTTGTTTTTTTTTACACTTTATTCTTCAGCTCAGGGGGGTGTTTATTATAACAATTATTGCTACTTGATTTTGATTAATTTTTATATATGTTTCACATATCATTTGGATTTAGTGGCTCAGACAGTTTTTGTTTTTTTATTTACTACTGACCTTATTTCACAGATTTATTCTATTACACATTGGGGTTGATGCTCAGGAGGGTGATTATTAGTGTATTTTCTAGGGTCGCTATGGGGCAGCGCAGCACAATTCTTGGGGAGTTATATTGATGTGGGAACACATTTAGGTGCTTGCAGCAGCTTATCATTTATTTGTGGCAGTGCAGGAGTATTATATCCTTATATTATTGGATTGGTGTTTACATGTGTTACTTTGTTTTATTTTTGTAATTGTCACATAATCACAAAACAAATCAGAGCTAGCATTTTTGTTACTTGTTTGTGGTTAAATTGGGAGTGTGTTTGCTCCTTATTGGCAGCTGCTGCACTGATTATATACATTTTCTGTGGCACAGTTCACAGATTTTTCAGGCTATTACTACTGTCTATGCCTTCTTGTCCCATTGACAACTGCCTATCCCATTTCGTGCTTGCTGTCACAAGCGAAGGACTTGGGGTGAAATTTCTCCAAGAGAGTCTCAGACAGCAGAAAAAGCCTAACAGAAGTGCTTAGTCTTCTCAAGCCTATCAAACATGATTTGGTAAGAAACTTCTAGATATCATCCTGAACATTCCAAAGTAATCATCACTTACCTTGACACAATGGGGGGAATTTACTAAAACTGGAGAAGCTGTGCGAAGTATCCACTCAGTTTCTAATTCCAGCTTATTCAGCTTTGAAAATGAAAGCTAGAAACTAAACGGCTGCCATGCAAAACTGCGTCAGGTTCTGGCTGCTCCAGTCTTACTAAATTCCCCTCCATGTGAGCAGTTCACTCAGTTTTTTTAGCCATGTGTTTATTAGTATACTGTATAGGCACATGAATTAAAAGGTTTTGAAGCTATATCATTCTCACCTGTCTATGCCTGATTTGTGGCTTTCTGTCACAATACTTCTTTGCAGACTCTGCAGACTTCTTTATGGTTAAAGGCACTCCGTACTTAGCAGCCGGTTTGGTAATTTTCTGTGCAGGTGGAGAAGAAGATTGCATGGCTTGTGCTGGAGCTTGTCTTTTGGCTAATTTTACAAAACATAAAATGAGTATATATCAGACATTCAAGTGGCTAAGACTTCAAAACAAAAATAATATCCAGCCAGAGAGAACACAGTTTTTCTTTTTTTAAATCTAAGAATGTAAAAATGTTTTACCTTTTCAGTGCCCAGATTAATTCTGTAGGCACTGCTATTTACTTTTTCGTAGTGTCCAAATAGATAGACTACATAGCAAAAAGTTACGAAAAGCATAGTCAATGCCTCAAAGTTCACTTCCATAGCATGATTCAGAAGTTATGTATGGACCATGTAAATTAAAGTATGACAAAAAGGTTAAAAAAAAACGGTTTATTTTTGTTTTGGATAGAGTGGAAATAGATTGGAACACACAATAGGTTTTTACTTTAAAAAATGTTTAGTAGGTTTTACATAACATCAGGAATGGAGAAAAGATAACATACAGTCAGCCATATAATTTGATTATTATAATGCCAGGTACAAAAAGAAGCAACAGGAAAATAAAGTAATAACCCTCAACCTTAAGGTACTGTAATGCCTATGAAATGTGTTGGCCTTGGACCCTTTGTTTCTTGGGTAATTTTTACAATAAAGCATCATTGCCCAGATGCCAGGAGCATGAGAAGTGACTGATGTAATTTGTCTAGGCTAAAGGAACAAAGTCACCATCAGAGTCACAAGATAATCTGCTTAGAGAAAGATAAAAACTTATTTGTGAGATTGAACGTGTTTATGACATCTAGTAATCTCACATTAGAAGATAAGAACCTGTTTAGGGATGTCTACTTGCTTGAGAAGTAAGACATCTTTAAGTTTAGGGTAGATGAGAAGTTTAGGGTAGATAAGAAGCTGATCTGAAGCAAAAGTGTAACTTTTCAGATAACAATGTGGATTCAATATGGTGGCTGAGCATGACTCCGTTATCCACACGGAACCTGCTAGCTCCTCCTATAGGGAGTGTGGCACCCACCCACTTCAGGAAAGCTGCCAGAAAAATGGTTTAAAAGCTGGGAATTTAAGCAGGATTCACTAGGAAGCCCACCTAGTGGCCAGATGATGCTCTGATGCTGGGACTCTTGCCAAGGCTATATGGGCTCAACATTTGGTCACACTTACAGCTTCCCCGTGACCCTCTGGGCAGTATGTTTCCGATGGGATTTGTTCCTTCCCGCTTCCACAAAGCTTTGGTAATGTATTAATTCTATGCTGTGATGCTGCCAAATGATGTGTTTATTTCATGCTGTAATGCTCGCATTATTATTGGTGTGTGTTATTATGCAGATTGTGATGACTATAAGATATATCCTCCTGTGTGTCATGTGATAATAAAAGTGGAGGTTTTGACAGTGCAAGAATATTGCAGTTGGATTCTATTATTTCTTGGGAGTGCCGGGTGAATGCTATGATGTGCCAGGGCAGGTATTCATTTGGTAGAGGGTCTTTTACATGTGTAGAATATGTAATGGTGTAAATGCAGATTAAAAGTACCTGTGTGTGACTACCTGTCGATTGACTAAGAGCTGTCGCTCGAAACGCGTCAGGGTCAGGCTTCAGCTGTTCGACGCTACCACCGCCGGCACCACGAGGGGTCCCGGCGGCAACTATATACTGGGTCAGTATCTTTATTCTACTTACTCCATACCTTGTACCCTTTGTCTGTATGTGGGAATAAATGTACCCATAGACATACTGCACTATTGGCTTCCTTTGCTTTTTTCTGAGCTCCTGTGGGAGCCAGGTTTATTCGGAGAGTGATGATCATTTAAGGAGAAGGCTGATCGCAAGGTTCTGGAGAAAGAAGGGGACCTGACCAGATCTGACCAGACCCTAGTTGAATGATTGGAGGTCCTTATGTTATAGAAAAGCGCACAAAGGTTGCGCATCTGGTGAGTGCGCAATTTGTACCCCCATTGTTTCACCGTGCACACAGTCAGTGTCGTCTGGAGAGCTATAGATTGTTTGAGACTTGGTTCACATCCTCACGCTGAACTTACCTTTGGATGTAACAATCCTTCCTCACGTCCTATTAGCCACAGTATAGTGGCGTATATCTGTATGCACGAAGACACCTTATATTGCATGAATTTGTACATGTATATATACTTTCATCTAATTTTGTATTAGCGCTGCACTTTTTATATACTATTGTGTATATGACTTGCCTTTAGCTACTGCACCCAGCATTAACATTACAGGTACATTATATGAAGAACAATAAACACACCGATCGACAGTTAGGTGGTAGGAACATACAGAGGGTTACCAGGGGTAAAGCCTAAAATCAAGGATTTATAAGAAAATCACAAATTATCAAGGATCCAAGGATCTCTCATGAGATGTTGGATGTTATAAAGAATTCCCTTAGTTTGCAGGGATTTCATCACTTCCTGTTTTGTCTATGGGACAGGAAGTGAAGGTAAACCTCTCCAATGGGACACAGATGGAAAAAAAAAAAATCTGACAAGGGTTTTAACCCTTCCTTACTTTATCCAAAATTAAAATAAAAAGTTTTGTCTTTAGTTGTACTTGAACTATTCATTTTTTGAGGATGCCACAGTTGGTCTTTAACCTCAAATATAACATGTATTAAACACAATATTTGCACTAACAAGTCTCCTTTATTGTAGGCTTCACATACAGTATAGTAAACTGAAAGCATATAATATTAATTACCTACCAGCTATGGCATGACCTGCAGGTTTAGGTGGGTCCAGAACTGCTCCCACGCCAAATTCTTCAACAAAAAGCTGATGAATTAAAATAGAAAATATCACATGGTTTTTAATTAGTTAAGTAATAACACAACTCATCTACTGAAAAGATTAATGAATTATAATACGCTCAATGAAAATAAAATAGTCTATCACAGCACCAGTCATTTTGCTTCTTCCACAGCAAAATAAAAAGGTAATAATATCTGATATTAATCAATGATATATGCACACAAATGGAAAGGTTCTGTTAAAAACATTGATATTTTCTGTTAAAGCACTGACTGAAAACGTTGCTACATGCATTGTGTACCTTTAAGAGGCCATTGCATTAAACTGCAGAAACATAGTAATCTCCCTTAGGACTCATTAACACTATGCATTGCGTTAATGTGTTGAGATATGCCAAGTTCATTTTAAATGGACAGTCGATGAACCTCAGAGTGCTAAAAATGGATCCCATACTATTTTTAGCAAAATATATATATATATATATATATATATATAAAAAATTTTTTTTTTTTTGAGTGTACACTATTTTTCACGTTTATTGGAGTGTACACAGAGTGATTTTTTGCAGGATTCATTTGTCAATCACAGTTGAATCTGGTATTTATTTATGTTGCACTTATATAGTATATACTAATTTGTTTAAGGTGTATATACATTGAAGTTATTTTTGAAGGTAATACACTATGTTAGTTATATATTTTTTCGAGGTATCACGTGGTCTGGAATGGAGGAATAAAGTTGGACACACTGGATTGAAATAATTTGGTGGACTATTCATATTTGGATATTAATTTTTGGACACTAATTTTTTGGACTATATATTATTTATTTATTGTTTGGTATTTTTGGTTTAGGGGTTTGAGTTTCTCAAGGAGAAAAGGTTTTAGCAGTAGATGTGAACCAGCTACATAGAGATTAATATGGTTTTTTATTTGAAATGCATTGAAAAGCAGTAAGAGTAATGTATTTTACTTAAGTTAAACAGGCAAGTGTGAATAGACACTAAGACTAAAGCACATATGTTTTCATTGAAATCAATGGAAATGCATTAAAACACAGCCACTGCTCCAAAGGAGCCTAGACCAGGTGAAGATCATTTGGTCTTTAGTATACAGGTGTATCATGGATGGTATGTATCATAAGAAACTGCACAGAGACGGACGAACGCACGCACGCACGCACACACGACTGGACAATGAAAGGAGACGCAGCATACTAAGACTGGCCATACACTATTCAATTTTCTGTCCAATTTCCTTTAGATTTACCTTCAACTATGTAGTACAAGAGCCTGCCTAATTGGATTCAACTGAAAGTGTTGTTAGGTTTGACCTCATATTATATGGTTTTTGGTAAATCTAAACCAAAAATCTCAAGAAAATTGTATAATGTATGGCCAGCCTAGGAAGTTAATTTCTCTGTCATTGTGCTCTCTCCTCCTATCAGCATATTACCATGTGGGCACTACAGTACAATTGACTGCCTCCTTTTGCTGTTTTTCCTTTCTCAGTCTGAGCCCTTCTGTATAGCAGTGGATTATACCAGGAAACTATATTGCTTGCATAAAAAAATACATTTAATGATGTATTAATAAATATAGAGTTTCATAAATTATCATATTTTTTTTATCTGCCTTGAATTCAACTTTAAAATGACTGTAGTTGCAGTCACATTTACTATAACTCAGACTTACCGGTGGAGGCAGAAACTTTTCAATACGCTTAAATATAAAAGGCTTCTCCAATATGGAGTTGACAGAAGGACGATCCCTGGGATTTCTTTTAAAAAGCAAAGAAAGCAGATTGCGGAGGTCATAGGAGTAATGCATTGACACTGGGGGATATGAGCCCCGAATGATCTTCAGCACCAGGTTCTTCATATTGCCAGCTTCAAACTAAAATTTAACACTTTATTTAGAAAATATGCAAAATGATCATATCAAAGGCACAGCTTTTTAATAATATAATATTTTAAACAAACTTTAAATATTTTAAAAGAATGTACAGCATACAATGCAGTCAATACATAAATCTTTAACTTGACAAAGTTTCTTCTTTGTTTAGTTTAGTAGGTAAAAATGCTGCAAAACATAAAAGAAGGTTTCTCCTAAGCCTGTAAAATGAAGCTTTGCCAAAAGCATCCATTGCAATGTTACAACTTTTTCTTTCTCCTGACTAAAAAAGGGTCCACGTTATGCAGATCCTTATTTTGTACTACAAATAAAACATAATACTTACCTCCAGCCTTGATCCAGCAATCTGCCCTCCAACATGATCTTGGCTAGCTCCTCTTCATTCTGCTTATGCATGCCATGGCACCAATTATTCCCATGGGTAGCCATTACTCACCGAAGCCTCCAGGGGTCCCTTGAAATAAGGCTCACCCAACAGAAGCTAGTTGAGACCATGCCAGAATTAAGTTCAACTGGATCAGGGAAAAAAACATAATGCCAGGTTTGCTGCACTCAAGATGGTGGAGGAATTTATGAAAAAAATAAAGTGGGAGGACAAAAGGTCAAGTTTCCCTTTAAAGCCCATCTACAGGAAAATCTAAAAATAATCCCTTGCAGCTGTGCCCAAACTGGAAGGGTAATTGCTTGTTTAGGGAACACAGAAATGAAGATTTAGTTAATCGACCCTCCGTGTTCCTAGACTGGTCTCCACACTTCTCCCTCATGCTTTGGTGGTCAAAAGTCCTGATGTCATAAAGACCAGTACAGGTTTCATAGCCCTGCAATGGATGTGATGATGCTCACTGCTGGAGCATGGGAGAGTGCCGTCTGCCAAGGAAGCAGAGGATCATATAAATAAAAATGCTTCTCCTCTCCCCTAGACAAAACAAACAGTTAAGTTAGGCCTGTAAAATATGATCATTTCATCAGTTGTAAAACTAGATTTTAGCACTGTCTGTCCTAAAAGAACTTGGGCTTCTCCGTTGTAGGATAATAAGAGGGAGCCCATCCTCAGCATTTTTACTGGGACAGACTGACAGCACCAGACTTGCTGAGAAATGCTTGCAATCAGCCATGACACCTGCTCCTAAGAAACATCTAAAAAGATAAATAAAAAAGGTAAGAAATAGATAAAAAAAAAAAAGAAGTAAATATGCGGTGTGAATGGGAACACAACCTAACAAAAACATATATAGTGGTGTTTTCCCAAATGTGACTCCAGAACTGGAAATACACTTTAAATCTACCAGAGATAGACTGAAACTCAGGCAGCGACCAGACAATTTTTGATCCACCTATGGCCAGACCCGTTTGAGAGCTGTTGATCTACTGATCGACTGATCACAAACAGTCCTGCTAGAAAACTTTAGTTTGATTAGAGCTGCAGTGAATAGGCTGAATAGCTGAAGCGGTAATCCGTATAATCTGACAGCAGGGGAGCCCAGCTGACTTCTCTGCTGTCAGAATACAGTCACACAGTAGGGAAGAGTCCACCTTGATTGTGTGTATGGGACTGCTAGCTGAATGAAAAAATACTAACTCATGTATGGCCAGCTTAAGACTTGGATGAGGATATAGCCCCATAAAGTTTTAAGTCTCTATCCACACATACAAAGCTAAAAACAATTGTGTCACTTTCTCACCACTGCCCACCACTAATGTTATTACATTACAAGTAATGTAAAGCCTTCAAGAGAGTTTGACACCATCATGCGCCATTTTTAACAGTGACGGTAGTTCAGCTGAACTGGAAATTCTGATGTGTTTGACTTGAAAGATATAAACCTGCATTGTATTTGGAGCTTTTTAGCAACCATGTAAACGTCAGCTTTTCAGCAACCATGTAAACCCACTTACCGCATGTTTGAGAGTGCACATTTCATAAAGGACACAGCCCAAAGCCCAAATGTCACTGTATGAGAAAACACAAATGAATATAGAGTGGTACAATGACAAACTGACGTCATAATAAATGGATACACCATTTCAGCAAAAATCGATTGGTAAAAGTAAATTACTTCAATCTCTAAATACAAATGTTCTTATAAAGGCAAGTGTTTGTTTGTGCATGTATAAATTCTGTCTAAGACTGCTTTCACACTGCTCTGTAGAAAAACACGGTAAAAAAGCATATATATGTTTTTGATGCATTTTTGAAGAGTTATCAGTACATTTTCTGTTTCCCTACACCTATGAAAAATGGACCAGTGAATGCACCTGTGAACAATTTGAATCATAAAAAAGCACCAAAAAACGCAAAACGTTTTGTGCATTTTGCTTTGATTTCAATGGGGAGCTGCGTTTTTGGTGCAGTTTTGAAAACCAGACCAAAGTTGCAGCTTGCAGGACTGTTCAAAATGCACCGCTCCTGCAGTGATGTGAAGAGCCCCATATGATTTAGGAGGAAATAGTTTTGATACGCATTTGTTGTGCTGTTTTAGCATGGCAGAAGCACATTAGTGTGAACGCAGCCTAAACCCAAATGTTTTTCCCCCCATTTAGACAGAGCAGGATATAGTTAAAAACCTGTCAGTTTTTTTCTGCCATCTGTGTGCCACATGCTTAGGCATGTGACGACATCCCACACCTGAGAGCAGCAGCTCGCACACAGCATTGCACCGATGGAGTTAGCCACCCACTGGAACACTACCACACAGCTATTACCGAGTGCTGGGGAGAGAACAGATCTATGGCAGTCTATGATGTTTTTATGATGGTATTTTAATAAATAGAGTTACGGGATGATATGGATGACCGGCCAACATTCGGCCCATGTATACAGTTGTCCTTCCAACAGAAGGCGGTTTTAGGATCAGTTTTTGTCGAAGAGACAAGCAGAAAAAATCAGCAACTGATCAGCACTCACAGCTAATGCGAACGATGATTAGTGTGTTCTGGCGGAGGGGGGTCCCCCTGTCAGAACACAAAGGCTCAGCGGGAGGGATCGCTGCACTAACGTTGCTTAGTACCGCAATTTCTGAATGTGTGCACCAGGCTTTAGGATCTGGTGAGTGTTCTGACTACTTGGGGGAGGATCTTCAGCATGGTTTTTAAAAAGGTGACATCCAGTGTTCTGGAGGAGTGCAACAGCTGTATATAACTAAGCCAAGACCTGGGATTGCGTTGATTGGCACAGAGGAACTTATGGCACAGTACATTATATACATATTACCCTTTCACATAGCTATTTTTGCACATTATTTACATTATTTGCATAAATTACTATTATGTTTTGAACATTATGGATAGGGTACAAGTATTCGTAAATATGGTCATGGTATTGTAAATAGAGAGGTATTTTGTGGGACAGCACAGAGTTTGAAGTAGCTGTAAATGCTGAGGGTTTTTCTTTAATCTCCATGGTTTCTCCATCTCCAAGGTTTTAAAACCTTCAAGGTGCAGCACCGCCTGCAGCACCGCCAATACTTACCTGAGCCCGATGCAGATATGTGCATGAGAGCCGAGGCTCACCCACCCGGGACACTCTCTGCTCACTAGCTGAGACCCAGCAGCGGGATCCATAGGCTTCTGCTGCCGTCAATCACAGCCAGTGAGGGAGAGGGGGGCGGGACTGAGCCATGCTCTGTGTGTCCGTGTGTCCCATAGACAGAGGCGGCTCGGGAGAGCTGCTTGCTCTGGGGGCACTCGGTAAGGGGGAGGAGCCAGAAGCACCGGTGGGGGATCCAAGAAGAGAAGGATTGGGGCTGCTCTATGCAAACATAGTTTTGGAGGTAATATTAAATAGCACTGTATAATGGAAATATTTATGGTTTTGAATATCAGGAGATATTCAAAAATACAGCAGCTGGCATTTAAAATAAGGAAGGCATAGACACACTATACATACTGTATATGTCTTTCTTTTAGAAACAGTGTATATATAGGGTAAAAGTATAACACTATAATTTCTTTCACTAAAAAATGTATTTAAAAAATAAATACTACATTACACAAACCCACAAACCTTTTGTTGTTGTAGGGTCGGTTCTCGCAAATCTCAGGGGACAGGTAGTAAGGAGTTCCTATACAAGTCCGAGCAAGCTCTACTGTGCTGTATAAGGAAAAAAAAAATCTATAAAAAAAAAAGCTGGAATGCAAAGAGTTCTTACTAATGTATAAAATAAGATTCTGAAGGAATGGCAGCAAATTTGGTAAACCACTAAGATGTGTTCCCAGAAAGTCCTTGCCCTCGAAACAAACTACAAACTGTTGTACTGTTGGTACTTTAGTCCCAACTCAAATTGCATGTTACACTCTGGGACATGCAGGGCCCTTCTCCCACGGCTGATCAGAACCAGGCACATATGCTCACAGGTGGTGGACATGTCTAATTGCCCAGGCTCTATGGATCCAGGTCTAAACCATGTTACGAATTCTGTTTGGAGTAAATATCCCAATGCTCCCTTAGTGAGGCACTACTCAACAAGAAACCTGATGGGCTTCCCAAACATCAATTCAGACAGACAACCCATATTTTTACAGCCACTAAACAAATCACAGCTAAAGCGTGGCTGTTGGACTCCCTCTCTCTGGCAGCAGTACAATCCAAAATCCATTGTATGCTCATTAATGACAAACTGACAGCTAAACTCACTGATACAATGTATAGCTTTCATAAACTTTGGGACCCATGGATCTCAAATTTTATGCCACCAAATTTTGATCACCGTCTACCAGGGGTGGAATGACAACTCATGGGGCCCCCGGGCAATAGGGAATCATGGGGCCCCTGTGTTCTTGCCCAAAAACTCAAAAAAGCCTATGAAAAAGGTACCAGGAGCATCTCATGGGGCCCCCTACTGACCCCGGGCCCTCGGGCGGTGCCCGAGTTTCCAAATGGTCAGTCCACCCCTGCCGTCTCCTGAATCTATGAGAGCCAGACCCATTTACACATCATTGAGCTATGGTTCTAAAAACCTCTGCAGTGCTCCTCCCCACATCTCCACGCCTCCCTCCTTTTCTGTTCTTCTTCCTTCCTTCTCTCTATCGCTACAGTTTACCCTCTACAAACTGATGATGGATCCCTTCAAGAACCCTGAGACACAATATTACTCTCCTCTTACTTGTAATTGTAATTATCCAGACCCTTTGTACTTGATCATTCTGTACAACTGGCCTGTATTCCAAGCAAGTGTGTCTGTTATCTTTCAGTGGCTCAGTGTATTTCTTAATATCAAATCAATAAAATGTATTGAACATAAAAAAGCTTCCGTGCATACCTGTTTAATACTCTGGCTATTCCAAAATCTCCCAGCTGTATGGTCCCACCTTTTGTCAAAAATATATTCTAAAATGGAGACACAAGTAACAGACGTCATAAAACCATACATGTATCACAATCCTGATGAGTTCATTAGGTTTTCAGTTTTACCTGTGACTTAATGTCTCTGTGGAGAATCTTCCTATCATGAACATGTTTCAGAGCCAAACACAACTGAGCAAACCAGTCTAGGATCTAAGAGGAAGAAACCATAGTAGGTTACCAGTGCCGTTATTATAACATTACTAACCACAAAGAATTTTGTATTGGAATTGAAATGTGGATATTTACAAAATCTTGATTAGCAGATTGCAGGGGAAAAAAAAAAAAAAATCAGATCTCTTTACACATAACTAGAGTTTAAAAACTGAAAACAGCAATTCATCCTATATACAAATGCACTACTGTTAGCCACCTAGAAGCAAGGTTTCTAGATCTGCGGTCATTTCCAGCTTTCAAGACTTCCCACTGAAGAGGGTCATGATCAAAAGGGAGGCTGCTCTGATTTTCTTTTATTACTATACATAAAAGTGCAGTCCTGCAGTAATAAAACTACAACTATACTCAATAAGAGTCTACAGTTGCACAGAAAATTGTAAAAAAAAACTCATTCTGAGGAACAGAACCAAGTGACTTTGATTTTTGAAAGGGCTGTAGACAAGACAGCAGGCCTTCTAAGAAAATAAAAATGAACAAAGAGAATGTTCATTTATAGCATTACGTGTCTTGCAAGGTTTCTAGGGAACATTACAGCACAGAGAGGAAAAGGAGATTATTTCCTACTTCACCTTTAAAATGGAACTACACTGCATCTGAGTACCGCAAACAAAAAAAACTCTATAAAATTAATTTTTAATATTCAAAGTAAACTGCATCCCATCTATGTCCGCATACTTAATTTTGCTGAGAAAAATGCCCCTCTAGCATTTCTGGCCATGGCCATCCTGAGTAAGGGCAGATGATTCATGTAGCATTTATGTCCTGGAATCCATCTGCCCTTAGCTTAGGCATGCATGAAGGAGAGTGCACTTAGATTAGAAAGCCCCTCCCCCCTCCTGAAGACTCCTGGGATGTAGGACATCATTTGCCAGGAAGTAACTGAAGAAATAAAAAAAAAAATGATATCGGCATTACTTGTTTAAAACATTTTTTTACTTTCCTATCTATTTACTAATGCTAGCAGCATAAGGATTAAAAATAATCAATGTTGATGGAGAGAGTGAAGTTCCACTTTAAAATGCCTTGTATCACTTGCCTGCCCACTAGACAAAGGGGATGGTGCCAACTCGCTTTCTAATACAGAGAGGGGGCATAAAAAAACTGCAAAGTGGAACACAGTGGTGCCACCTGCCTGGCTGCACAGTGTGTCGGGGGAGGGGGGTGTAAACAGAATTCAAGCCAAAATCCAGCCTTACCTTTACACTTGGTCAGCCGTAGAGGCTTCTCTGTTGTAAGGAAATTGCTAGCTCTGGATTTCAGTGCACACTGTAAACTTCCCACAGAATGCATTTGAAGCCGAAGTAAGTCATATACTGCCCACCTTAAAGCCTTGAAGGACATCCATGGCTGCAGTTTTCATTAGTGGGATTTTGGTTCTTTCAATTATATAGGTTCAGTATCACATGTGTGCATTACATGGGACAGTCTGCATGTAAATGCAACCTGTCCACCACTCCTCCATACTGACACCCACTCCTCAAAGTAGTTTGAATTTGCATAACTCTTCCCAAGGACCAATTTACTGCTTTCATTAAAGTTTAACTATAGGCAAAGCTTATAAACAGTGATTAAAAAAAGTACACATAAAACAGCGCTATGTCAAAATACAATGTCAAATTGATCTAAAAGGATAAAAGAAAGAAAAAAATTTCCACCCAAAAAATATAAAATGAGTAAGAATTCAATCAATCTCTTTAATAACGAATGGTTGTGAAATCTCTAACGTGATAATCAGCCAGCAGCCCAAAAGGACCTCCAATCAAAGTGTTATTAAACCCTTAGAGGAAATCGGATATTATTTTTTGGTGGAAGTTTTTTTTCTTTCTTTTATCCTTTTATATCAATTGGACATTGTGTTTGGACATAGCACTGTTTATGTGTACTTTTTTTGTACTGTTTCTAGATTTTTTTTGTTATTTAAAATGGCAGCTTGGTTTAAATATTTAATTACTGGTTTAATAATTTTTATTTTATTTCCGTATACCAATATTTTCACCATTTCTTGAGTGCGGGGATATAGGCTGGTTCATCCTATATATTTTTAATAGGCAAAGATTTTTTTGTACATTTTGGATAGAGTAAGGGAGGGTTAAAAACCCCTTGCCATTTATTTTTTGCCATCTTTGTCCCTTCAGGGAGACTCCCCTTCACTTCCTGACAAAACAGGAAGTGAGAGAAAATCCCTGCAAATTCAGGGAATTCCTGGGGACCCCCAAGTCACCAGAACTAGTGATCCCACTGGAAGATTTCTCCTCGATTACTTTTCTGGGGACAACCCAGAAGTTATGTACAGCACCCTGACAGCCCCTCCCAATAGCCACGATCCACCTGCATTGCATAAAACAGAACAGAGACCCAGTGATGACATCAGAGGAAAATAAGTAATAAAAATGGAAAGGTTGTAATTTTATTAGCAAGTTGATGTGAAAGAGGAGAAGAGGGATGAACCAGGGGAAGACAAACAAATGCAGATCAACCTTCAGCTTTAAAAGATAAGTATGTTTTTCTTTTACTGCCTCCCTACCGCTGAGTTAAACTAGCTCACCCTCTGCAGATGTAAACTTTCCTTTCATTGTTTCCCAGGGCTCGGTAATTAGTTTACATTTGGCCAGTAGATCTTTAATTGTGCCAGCTGCACCCATGCAGTGATATCCAAAAGGGTTCTTTAGGACCATCTCCTGCCTCAGGAGAAAAACCCCATAGAAACTATGGGAAGCTACTCTGGAGTTTGTTGTTTAAGTAAAATGAACCAAAAAAAAAAAACCTACTTACTGAAACCAGATCAGAAAAAAAATATACATTCTTAGATAGGAGATGGCACAATTAGGTGTTAAAATGGTGCAGAAAAATAAAACACACACATCTTAAACATACATCTTAGAAGGTCCAATAATGGTTTCTGTTTTTTAACATTTTTAAATATTTTCAAGCCATTATTTTGAAGAATTAACTGGTATACCTGATCTTCTGAGAACAGAATTCCTTTCTGAGTATTGATTCGTTGAAACAGATCCCCTCCTTCACAGTAGTCCATCACAATATACAGGCATCCACTCTCTGAAACAAAGAAAGAGGTTTTAACACAATTAGTCTTTCCATGAGAAGACCGGAAATATTATACCAATAATAAGGAATAAGACCACATTATCATCAATCAAACTAGAAATTTCCATTAGTGTACTACAGTAAAAATCAAAACCAAAAACACATTTAATGAAGTATGACTCCAGGTCAGATGTGTATCATTTGGCCTCATTTTGTCATAAATGCGCCAACTAGCGTTCCAGTAAAAGATTAAATATTATAGAAAGTCCTAAGGCACAAAACTTCTAGATGATCGTTTTCTGCACTGACCTGAATACAGATTTATTCTACTTGAATAACTTCATGTAAACAAAAAAGCAACAGAGAATATATTTAGTAGTGAGCATTGCCTTATTGCTTTGTTGCTGGAATCTGCAGAGAACAGCATTTTGACCATTCAGAGAATAATTAAAGGTTTCATATTTCAAATTAAAACAAAAGGCTTAAAGTGTTACTAAACCCACAACAGTAAAATCAGTTTGTATATGCAGTAAAACATTCTAGTTCTACTCACTGTGGAATCTAAGGGGTTAATCCTCTGCATTGTGTAAAAATGCGGTTTGATCCTCACTTTTCTGATCCTCCCCTTCTTCCAGTGCCCCCATCTCATCTCCTGACAACACATATCGTGTGGAGACACTCTGCAAAACGCTCAGTTTGATGTGCATTGCTAGAGAGGTTTTTTTTTTTTTTTTTCTTGGGAGGGTGCATGTGATCAGCACAGGACCAATCAGACAGAGGGTCAGGGGTTATGCAATCTCATAAGGCAGTAAGAGGATTAGGAAAACTCCTCCTACAGGCTTTAACCAGTGCTTGGCTGCACACTGATAGAAGTTACAAGAATGCTCTAACTGCTGATGAGAAAAGGTATTTATCAGTTTATATTCACTAAAGCAATTGCATTTCCATGTACTGTGTACTGTGGAAGACCAGATCTAGTGAATGCAGGGTCATGGGATCATTGACTGCAGAGCAGGGTGGTGCCAGATGTCACAGATGGCGACAAAGAAATGAGGTTACTATAGACATCACACTGCTGAAGAGAGCTCTAGCAGATAAGTGTGCAATAATGAGCAAGTAAGCTGTACATGCTTACACGTTATGGAAATAACCAACCCACTTCAGTTCTGTTTGCCTAAAACTCTTGCACATAGGTACTCCTTATGGACTAGAGAAATTGCAGCTATGTAGGTCTACTGATTCAGGAATAACATTGTATTTACTGATGATGCCAACATTTAGTTAAACTAACGTTATGTTTCTTAAACAGCTACAAGTACATTTATAATGCAATTAATCTGACATATTTCCCATATATATATATATATATATATATATATATATATATATATATATATATATATATAATATATATATATATATATATATATATATACACATACATATATACATACACACACACACACACACACACACACACACACACTCAGGTCCATAAATATTGGGACATCGACACAATTCTAACATTTTTGGCTCTCTTCACCACCACAACGGATTTGAAATGAAACAAGATGTGCTTTAACTGCAGACTGTAAGCTTTAATTTGAGGGTATTTACATCCAAATCAGGTGAACGGTGTAGGAATTACAACAGTTTGCAAATGTGCCTCCCACTTGTTAAGGGACCAAAAGTAATGGGACAATTGGCTTCTCAGCTGTTCCATGGCCAGGTGTGTGTTATTCCCTCATTATCCCAATTACAATGAGCAGATAAAAGGTCCAGAGTTCATTTCAAGTGTGCTATTTGCATTTGGAATCTGTTGCTGTCAACTCTCAGGAGATCCAAAGAGCTGTCACTATCAGTGAAGCAAGCCATCATTAGGCTGAAAAAACAAAACAAACCCATCAGAGAGATAGCAAAAACATGGCCAAAACAACTGTTTGGAACATTCTTAAAAAGAAGGAACGCATCGGTGAGCTCAGCAACACCAAAAGACCCGGAAGACCATGGAAAACAACTGTGGTGGATGACCGAAGAATTCTTTCCCTTGTGAAAAAAACACCCTTCACAACAGTTGGCCAGATCAAGAACACTCTCCAGGAGGTAGATGTATGTGTGTCAAAGTCAACAATCCAGAGAAGACGTCACCAGAGTGAATACAGAGGGTTCACCACAAGATGTAAACCATTGGTGAGCCTCAAAAACAGGAAGGCCAGATTAGAGTTTGCCAAACGACATCTAAAAAAGCCTTCACAGTTCTGGAACAACATCCTATGGACAGATGAGACCAAGATCAACTTGTACCAGAGTGATGGGAAGAGAAGAGTATGGAGAAGGAAAGGAACTGCTCATGATCCTAAGCTTACCACCTCATCAGTGAAGCATGGTGGTGGTAGTGTCATGGCGTGGGCATGTATGGCTGCCAATGGAACTGGTTCTCTTGTATTTATTGATGATGTGACTGCTGACAAAAGCAGCAGGATGAATTCTGAAGTGTTTTGGGCAATATTATCTGCTCATATTCAGCCAAATGCTTCAGAACTCATTGGACGCCGCTTCACAGTGCAGATTAACAATGACCCAAAGCATACTGCAAAAGCAACCAAAGAGTTTTTTAAGGGAAAGAAGTGAAATGTTATGCAATGGCCAAGTCAATCACCTGACCTGAATCCGATTGAGCATGCATTTCACTTGCTGAAGACAAAACTGAAGGGAAAATGCCCCAAGAACAAGCAGGAACTGAAGACCGTTGTAGTAGAGGCCTAGCAGAGCATCACCAGGGATGAAACCCAGCGTCAGGTGATGTCTATGTGTTCCAGACTTCAGGCTGTAATTGACTGCAAATGATTTGCAACCAAGTATTAAAAAGTGAAAGTTTGATTTATGATTATTATTCTGTCCCATTACTTTTGGTCCCTTAACAAGTGGGAGGCACATATGCAAACTGTTGTAATTCCTACACCGTTCACCTGATTTGGATGTAAATACCCTCAAATTAAAGCGGACAGTCTGCAGTTAAAGCACATCTTGTTTGTTTAATTTCAAATCCATTGTGGTGGTGTATAGAGCCAAAAATGTTAGAATTGTGTCGATGTCCCAATATTCATGGACCTGACTGTGTGTGTGTGTATATATATATATATATATATATATATATATATATATATACACACATACATACATATATATACACATACATATATATACACATACATATATGTACACATACACACACACACATACATACATATACACACACACACACACACACACGTCCATATATATTTGGACACAGGCACAATTTTACTTTTTTCAGGTATTTACCAAAACATATTCAAGCTATAGTTCTATAATGGATATGGGCTGAAAGTAAACACTCTCAGGTTTAATTTGAGGGTATATACATCCAAATTGGAGGAAGGGTTTAGGAGTTACAGCCCTTAAGGGTAGCTATCCCCCCTTTTTCAAGGGACCAAAAGTAATTGGACAATTGAATATAATCATAAATAAAATGTTAATTTGTAATATTTTTGTTGAGAATCCTTTACTGGCAATGACTGCCTGAAGTCTGAAACCCATGGACATTACCAAAGACCGGGTTTCCTCCTTTCTGATGCTTTGCCAGGCTCTAACTGCAGCTGTCTTCAGTTGTTCTTTGTTTGTGGGTCTTTCTGCCTTTAGTATTGCTTTCAGCAAGTGAAATGCATGCTCAATTGGGTTGAGATCAGGTGATTGACTCTGTCATTGCAGAATATTCCACCTCTTTTCCTTCAAAAGCTCCTGGGTTGCTTTTGCAGTGTGTTTTGTTTTGGATCATTCTCCATCTGTACTGTGAAGCGCTGTCCAATCAACTTTGCTGCATTTGGCTGAATCTGGGCCGACAGTATATCTCTAAACACTGCAGAATTCATCTGGCTGCTTCTGTCACATCATCAATAAACACCAATGACCCAGTGCCACTGGAAGCCATGCATACCCATGCCAACACACTGTCTTCACCATGTTTTACAGATGACGTGTGCTTTGGATCATGAGCTGTTCCAAGCCTTCTCCACACTTTTTTCTTCCTGTCATCATAATACAGATTAATCTTAGTTTCATCCGTTCAAAGAATGCTATCCAGAACTGGTCTGGCTTTTTTTAATGTTTTTTGGCAAAGTTTAATCTGGCTTTTCTGTTCTTCAGGCTTATGAATGGTTTGCACCTTCTGGTTAACCCTCTGTATTTGCTCTTGTGAAGTCTTCTCTTGATTGTAGACTTAGACAATGATACGCCCACCTCCTGGAGAGTGCCCTTCACTTGTCTGGATGTTGTGAATGGGCTTTTTTTTTTCTTAACATAGAGAGGCTCCTGCGATTATCCACCACTGTTGTCTTCCATGGACAGCCATGCCTTTTTATGTTGCTGAGCTCACCAGTGCATTTTTCTTTCCTCAGAATATACCAAATTGTTGATTTTGGCCACTCCTAATGTTGCTACTATCTCTCTGATGGATTTGTTTAGTTTTTGAAGCCTTACAATGGCCTGTTTCACTTGCATGGATAGCTCCTTCCAACACATGATGTAGGATCACAGCAATAGATTCCAAGTGCAAATACCACACTTATATTCAACGCCCAAACCTTTTACCTGGTTAATTGATAAAGAAATAATGAAGGAGTAGCCCACACCTGGCCATGAAACAACTTTTGATTCAATTGTCCAATTAATTTTGGTCCCTGGAAAAAGGGGGGATGGCTACTCTTAAGAGCTCTAATTCCTAAACCCTGCCTCCAATTTGGAAGTACATACCCTCAAATTAAACCTGAGTATGTGCACTTTTAGCCCATATCTATTATATAACTATAGCTCGATTATGTTTTGGTCAAAAAAACCTAAAATTGTGCCTGTGTCCAAATATATATGGACTTAACTGTATATATAGCCTTGAAAAAGTATTCATACCCATTGAAATTTTCCACATTTGATCATGTTACAACCAAATCATGAATGTATTTTAAATAAGATTTTAT